GCCAGCACCTGTGACCGACATCTTCAGAGTGCAGGAGCACAGACAGGAGCAGTTCTCTCTGTGCCCAGGGCGAAGTGACCCTTCTGTGGGTCCACGGCCACACAGCCCGGAAGACCCACACCAGCCATCGTTTACTGTACAATTTAAAAAGAGTTGTAAACAGGTTCCTTTAAGATTACACTTTAGGTTAACTTCTTTAGAATATTTTGTCAGCTCTCACAGCAAGATAACTGCTAATAACATATACTACAAATGTGTAGGCTGCAAATACTACAGTGTTTAAATAGCATAATAACATATACTACAAATACAAGCTACAAATTTTTGCCTTTCCTGCAATAAATATCTATTCCCAAACCTGTCCCTGTGGCAGGGAAAGGATTTCCTTGGACTGGGTCTGCAAGCTTCTCTCAGACCTGTTCTACCCATACCTCTCCAAATTGCTCTCTCTTCAGCCCCCTTCTTTCAGAATTTAATCTGGGAGGTGATGCCCTATGTTACCATTCTTTGAGTAACAGTCCTAACACCCAGCCGTCACTCAGATTAGTGATCAGTTAAGACAACTGATCAATTCTAACTGACCATGGAGAAGTCTTTAAATATACAGATTGAAATCATTCTACCATGTTTTCTCTAAGCAATCCAAAGTTACCTTTATGCTTTTCAGCTTGCCCTCAAAGACTGTAGAATCTTTTTATTCTTTCACATAGAATTAGACAAAGCAATATCTTCAATTTGACAAACAGCCTCCCTTCCCAGTGTTCTGAAAATAAACAAAACTGCACCACATTGAAGAATAATGTGATTTCTTATATGAAACCTTCCTATAATCTAGGGCCATGCAGTCAGTCTTTTCCCCCCTACTTTGCAACAACTTCTCATGGAATGAACAAGACAAAAGAACAGAATATAACACACAATTATTACAAACACCTTACCAAACTGTAGTGAGGCAATCCCTGACTGAGCCTTCAGGAAATCACCACTGTCCAAGTCCTTCAAGCCTTGATAACAAGCTCTATGAGCAGAGACAACCATGTCTATCTGTCCTACTTGCAAATCTGCCCATAACTGTTCCTAGAGAAATGGAAGAAAGAGAGAACTGTCTATAGGTTTGGACAAGAAGTAGTAATTGAACGATTAAAGTAACACTGACTGTTAATCCAGAACTAATTAACACAGAAATATTTTTGCAGAGCGGTAATTCAACCTGGCCATTGCAATTCTGCCCTAGCTGCAGCTTCTGGACCAAACAAAGGGTACCCAGATACAGAACACATTGCATGTGAGCAACTATATTTAGGCTGCCCCTGTCCAAGAAAGAGCACAGTTGACAAGATTGATTCTAGAAGTCCCCCAGCTACATATTAGCACAGATAAACTCCCTGTTCCTGTACCTGGAAACTGTCATCTCCCATCCCTTCCCTGACAAAGTCTCAATCTTGTCAGGATTCAATCTCAGCCCTCATCCATTTTATCACTGCAACCAGACATTGGCTTAGAACATATACAGCCTCTCCTGATTCAGAGAAAAAGAGTTGCAATTTAGCTGCATAGCCATCTCCTGATGGCTGCTCCTGACAGTTCCATAAGGATGTTAGCTAGGTTTGGGTCCAAATAGTGCTTTGTGGCACCCCACAGCATAGCGGTCTGGGTGTAGATGCACAGTCACTCAATACTACTCTCTAACACTATTCTTGCAAGTAGGTGTGAAACCACTGTAACACAGTGTCCCAATTCTCCTACTCACAGAGATGATCCAGGAGAATACCATAGTCAGAAAAAGTAACTAAATGCTCAAGCAGGATCACAAGAGTGACAATCCCCCCCCCCTTTTCTGCAAGAGATCACCTATCAGGGCAATTGTCTGAAAACTAGGAGTGGACTCAGACTGAAAGGAGTCCAAATAATCAGTGTACTCACAGAATGGCTACAATAATAAATCTGTTGATGCACTTTTTAATTTTTTTTTAAAAAAGATTTGCTTCTTGTTATCTAAGAAGCAAGATGCATATGGCATCCAGCAAGGTTCTTCCCTTGCAGCTTGCAAAATTTGACATGCTACTCATACAGTTCATACAGTTGCTACTGTTTGTTCTAAAGCTCATTTGGTATAACTGTTTTGCTTCATTAACTTGCAATGTATACTTTTCATTTATAGGTCCAAACTTTATATGTACTTCCATCTATAGATCTTAATTAGTTCTGCATTTTTACCTGAGTACTTTATTTGCTTTATGCAATAGAGTCCTTCAAGTTGTTTGTACTATGACTTTAAATCATGATAACCATGGTTAAAAAATAAAAGATTTGACAGGGCTGACTTTTCCTATTTTTACTGTCAAGATCTTTCGTTGCAATCAGTACAAAGTATGTTAAATAAATTCTAGTGTGGAATTCTCAGAGTTACTTGGGCAACTGAGAAAGAGGAAATAAATAAATAAGCTTTAAATGTCACTATCAGAGTTGATTATCTAAATGTACAGACCTATCAAGGTGAAGCAGAGCTGTTTTACCTCAGTGTTTTATCCTCTGTGCAGTTGAGGGCAGATGGAATTCATTCCATATAAATTTGCATTTTGTATTAGCTATTAATTACTAGCTATTACAACTCATTAACCCAAAAATAGATTTAATTAAAACACTAATTAGTTTCATTGCCGTCATAAGTACATCTCTCAGCACAGTGTACAAATAATTACAATTTTCTATTCTGGTTATTCAGGAAAATGTTCATTCTTACTGTTCTTATAGATAACCGTCATATTTGTTTAATAAATTCCTCATCATCCAAAATATTCCATTTTGTCTTCTCCCTTTCATATGTTTATCATTTCTTATAGGCATCATGAGCCCTCACCTGGCTGACTTTCTCCCTGATGGGAGGGCAGCATTTGTAGTATGTTCCTCCTGAGGGAATGCATTCAGATGTCAGGCTGAGGTAGTTTAGAGTAGTTTCTACAGTGATTGGTGCTCCCTTCTGACGAGCATCATTGATGATGGGCAATGCTTGAGCGGAGGAGAGATTAAGAATGTGGCATGGTATCCTGCAAGGTTGAAAGTGTTTGCTGATTAAACTGTTACTGATCTCAGTTCGGCCAATCACTTCACACCAAGTTTTCTAGGACTGAAAGAGAATGGTTGTATAGGAAGTGTATGGCCAAAATATTCTAGAAATGGGGTGAAATGTATTATATGGCAAATAAAGCCAATTTGTTATATGTAAAAAAATCACTTTCCAAATTTCTTTTCAGAATTGCTGGGTTCACACCTCATGTTAAAATCTAAGAAGATTTGTTTGGCTTTTGTGTGAGGACTGTAAACTATGCTTTATGGCTTAGTATGGTGCATGAAGTGAACCAAACAATTGTGGCTTATTCAACGATCCATGATTAAACAAACCATCCTTAGTACTATGTGCAGATACCATCAGTTATTCTCCTTCCACAACATATGTGTCAATAGTTTAAAACGTTGTGTTATTATCAATTATTTAAAAAAGCTAAACTAGGTCATCAGTATATTAGTAATGTTTCTCCTTCTGTAGAACAAACATACTTAAATAACCCAATAGCAGATTTAGTTATTATAACTAATTTTGGATCCCTGACAAGATTTTTGAGAGGGCCTCTCTTTAGATAGCTGTTAGAACTACCATATCTTGGCTGCAAAAATGGTAGCCCTAATTCTTTTTTTCCCACTTCTTATTTGGTGCATTACAGCTGCTTCTATTTTCCTAATGTCAGCAAAAGTACTAAACAAAAACCTGTTTGCTAACTGTGAAAAAGGATATATTAAGCATGTAAAACTTAAATCATAGCAACATAATTACCATATTAATAAAATGGAATTTACATACTTCTGCTGCCTTGACACTAAAAACATTTACCCAAGAATGAATACTGTTCTGTTGTAAGAAGATAGGACTACTGTATCTACACAGCAGAAATCCAGAGGACATCTAGATGGTAGCAGAGAGATGCAGAGAAAAATAACACTTTTCCACCATCCTGTGCTCATTTGGGTTGTTGCAGCCTAGATATGGTTACTAAAAAAGATATCATGTATTTTGAAAATAAAAATAGTAAAATGGACATCTGAAATTATGCAGAGGCTTAACTCTTAGTTTTTTAAAAAAGAAATAAAAGCAAGCAAGCAAGCTGCAGTCGACAGAATCAGCCCAGTAGGCCCCGTGCTTGTTTGCCATATCCCCATTGTTCTAAGACTGGGCTCATGCATTATGCTAAATAATATTTTAGATGTGGTTTGACTATATCGTAATTGGCTGGGTTTGCACAATAAACCATAGTTTAGATCAGAACGACTGGATTCATACAATTCATTAAAACAAAATCATACAAATTACATGATGGCTTAATGCATCGTGTGAATGAGCCCATTGGCTCTGAGTGGTCACCTGGAAGCCTCAGATATCACTCCCAAGGTCCAGCCCTCACTGCATTCAGTGATAGATTCTGCATTGTTTCCTCCATCTTCATATTTGGTCCAGAAACTCTAGATTCATAATCCAAGCCTTGATCATGATTTTTTTATACTAGAACTGGATGTTTATTTTCATCTACTGTGCAGTCTGAAGTAAGGCAGAAAGAATCATCTGCAAGGAAATGTGTGGCAGAATTTTTAATAATCTGTCACTAATGCTACTGTGACTGAGCTTCTACTTAGGGCCAGTTAAGTTTGTCATCATTGATACAATTAGCAGTTGCAGGAATGGCTCTTTACAAATGCAAGTACAGGCCACTTCAGACTTATTATGGAAGTTAATTCTTCATTCTACACTTTAGTCCCTTATATGGCTCATGTCTTTGGTGCCTGTTATATGCACTGGGGAAAAAACCCTCCAATTCACTCCAATTACGTGACATACTTCCACTTTGCATTGCTTTGGTACTAAAATACAATCAAATAATACAAATCAGAATGAAGCTGGTTACAACATTATTGCCTCACTTGTACTGGAGGCAGAGTTCAGCAATGGTGAGGGTGGCCTCTACTTCCATGGAATCCGGATGCAAGTCCAAGAATGTGCTGTATTCTGCAGTATCCACAGCATCTGTGTGGGCAGAGGAAAAGAAAGCAAACAGAAAGCTCTAATAGTTATTCTAAAAAATGTAAGGCTGGTGCATGGAGGCAGGAAGGGGGAGCTCTGGCCTACAGACCAAACTGGCCTGTCAGTGTCCTGAAGCCGGCCCTCTGCACTGTTTCTACAAGCTATGCCTCTCATTGGTCTGTTTCATGCCCTCCATGGGTAGTGTCTAATTAGGCTGGTAAGTCTGAGTACTTGGCACTGGGCTAGTGAACCAAAGGGCCCTGTTCTAGCGTGGGCAATCCACACAGCCTTCCCAGTGCTAAGGAGGAAATACTGGCAATGGCTGGCAGAGAAGCAAGTGAGTTGATGCACAGAGGCAGAATATTCTATTTTGTCAGTGCGAGGAAACCAACCACCCAGTATTCAGTCCAGTCCAGTTGGCCTCTGCGTAAGCCTGCCCAACCCAGCAGTGTTGGTTATATTAACTAGTCCTTATCTGTTATATTAACTAGTAAGACAGAAGAAAGAATACTGTTACCAGGACAGGAAGGAGAAAGGAGAGAGAGAAGAGGAGGGAAGCTCCTTTTTGTGCTTTTAATATTTCACATTTTTAATATTTCTTGCGCTGAATTTCTCTTTCTCTCCCAGTAATAACAAGCACACTCTAACTGTGGAGCACCTAATAATAAGGCCGGGATGAATCCTGCTGGGTGCCATTTGTAAAGGGAATGGCTTACCGAGCAATAAAAGATAAATGATGAAGAAAGTCTATTTTTATGTAGGGAATAGCCTGATCAGAAAGCAGTATTTAAGCATATAACTAGGGACTGGGTACATGAAAAGATGGGTGGATGTAGGTACGGTATGCATGGATGTATGGTCTTTACAAATAAGTTTGGACCATCCACTTGTAGGTTGACCACACACACTTTTGTTCCAGCTCTACCTGCAAAGGAATGTGCCCCTCATCTTGCCATATGGATATGCCTCTCAATCAATGAATTCTAGGCATAGCAACTACTAGAACATATGCACTCAAGAGGACCCATCAGGAATGATTACCTCTCCTCCCTCTTCTACTTTAAATAACCAACCAACATTTAAAGTTCTCCCTTATGGCCAAGTTAAAGTGCTGTCTACCAATTCTTGAGCCAACACAAAACTGTATCAACATAAAATTTCCTGCCCCACCGTTATGACCCCTATGCTGCAACAGGCATGATGCTGGCAAATGGATCTGTCCTTATTTATGGTGTGCAGGGCACATGAAGGGCAAAGATTGGTAGTTTTCCTAGCTTTGTTTCGTACCCCTTTTGCCAAATGTCATCAGATGGCAGTAAAACATCCATCAAACAATGTATTTAATGTAGGCTAGGGCTGGAAGTGAGTTTTGACTAGAAGGCTAGATTGGTGAGCTTAGCCATCTGTCGAGAGGGCAGATCCAGAAGCAGGATGAAGGCATCAATTTTCTAATTAGGAGAAATTAGACAGAGACAAAGAGGGAAGCAAAGAGGGAGTTCCTTGCCTCTTGATATCAACGGGATAAAAGTACAAAGAGTTGATACTCCTGTAGTTGCATCTGCAGCAAGCGCCCCTGCTCTATCTACTTGTGATTTGCTTGTCGTGAGGGCACAGAAGGCCCAGGGGGGCCATCACTATTAAAATCAATTCACAGGCTCCCAAAAGCCCATTCTCATATCCCCCATCTATAATGCCCTGCAAACCATTTTTAAATCACATGCCTCCATGCTCTTGGCTTTGTTTCATTCCCAGCCCACAGCAGAGACAGAATAAAATTGTATTTAGCTGTTCCAGTTTTAAGGTAATATTTTCCCTATCCTCCTGACCCAATTTTTGCTTTGGACATGAACTAGGCTGCTTCATTAATGATGTTTTTGATAAACGAGTTTAGTGCTAAGAGATCTCCACAGACCTCTGCTGCACAGAAAGTTGATTTGAACCAGGAAAGAGAGCCAGGTTCTGCCAGCTGTAGTCTACTGTCACCAGTAGGGGTTTACATGGATGTTTATTGTTTCTATTTCTTTGCTGGCAAAATGCTATTTTGCCTAAACTTCAATGGGCCATTTCCACTTGCTACCAGCATTGTTGTTCCCTTCCAGCATTTGCTGATTACTTTGTCCACTACACTCCACAACTCATGTTGCAGGCTTGGGAGAGGAGTATGGGGTAAAGCAGGAGGGAGCTATTCTGATCTTTCCCAAAGGCCCTTCTCTTCACCTGTCCCATATTACTCAGACTATTTCTGAACATGGGTCTAGAAGAGTCCTAGACCCTTGTTCAAAAATAGCCCAAGCGGAGTCACAGGCATGGAGCACTTCTGTGCTTGCAGTGTGTCAGTCAGGCATCTTAGAAGGTATCTAAACTCTCCATTGCAGGCACCTGCCCAACCTTGCCCCACCAAACATTAAGGAGATGATTTATGTCCCCCCGTCCCCCCACCCCCGCTTATGAGAGGAGAAGCAAAGTCAGGGAAATCCTCCAGTCACTTTCCTTAACTTGTCCCACATTAAAACCATAAGGACAGGCTGGAATATGGTCATGAGAAAGAACACAGATTGCTTGCAAGACAATTCCAAGTATCTGAATACATTAGCATGTCCTTAATCTTCTCCGGTGATGCTCCCAACTCTATACATACACATCCCAGGGAGGTTGTAACCATTTCTGGTGCAACTCAAATCTTCCTTTGTTCTTTGTCATAAAGAAACTGTTCTAAATGTATTATGATTTCTAAACAATTCACTGCTTAGACCTGCTGCCTCTTTGCAGTCTCCTCCGTGATTAACCCATCCTTAACTGCCCTTTGATTGTGTCCATTCTTATTAAGCAGTTCTTTGCTGGTGCCAAGTAAGTTCTAAGCTAAGCAAACAATTAAGTTTGGAAGAAAACAAAGAGATGACCACTGTCATGTGATAAATGAGGGTTGTTGTGTCTTTGTTTTCTTCCAAACTTAATTGTTTGCTTAGCTTAGAACTTACTTGGCACCAGCAAAGAACTGCTTAATAAGAATGGACACAATCAAAGGGCAGTTAAGGATGGGTTAATCACGGAGGAGACTGCAAAGAGGCAGCAGGT